GCAAGACCCTCAATAGCCGGTAGATCCATTTTCCCGGTGATCTTCATCTTCTCCGACTAGATTTGGCTTCTTCTTTGAGAGGCGGGAATGAAGTCGAGATCGGGAGCGAGACAGGAGGAGGCGTCTGAAAGTGATTTCAGACTTCCATTTTCCACTTAAAATTCAGACCATTTTAAGAGGTTTTAAGCTCTTAATTTGAAAAAAAAAACAAACAGTCTGAAATGGTCAATGTCTGACCGAATCAGACTTCAGATGTAATTAAGAGGCTTTTTTTGAAAAACAAACAGTCCCTTAGTAATTAATTAATTAATAATAATGTGAATTTAATTAATTTATATAGTTATTAAAAAAAGGGAAATTTATAAAACTAACCATGTTACATAACCTTTTGCCACAAAATAACCACATTTTAGAGTTTTTGCCGGAATGACCACCGGGGGCGATCCGTACTATATGGGGGCGATCCCCCCTTAAGCCTTATAAAAAAAAATTTACCCTCAAAAGTCGAGATTACTATTCATTCCTCGTTGACCGTGCCTTTGACCTCGCCCTCCCCTCGTTGACCGTGCCTTTGACCTCGCCCCCGGGTATTTTTAAATTTTTTTTTTGTTTTTTGGTATTTTTAATAAACTGATACGCTATTGAAGTTGTATTTTTTAACTTTTTTAGAACTAAATTTCATGGGTAAATGTTTAAAAATAAACCTTTATAATTATGGAGACGCAAAAATTATTTTTATCTATTTTGGGTTTCGTAAATCAGATATAATATCTGATTGACGAAATTTGACCTCTATTTTTTTATTTTGTGTTTTTTATTTAACAATTAAGGGCTGTTTTTAATAAAAATGGAAAAATACATAGTGTGTCTTTTTACGTATTTAATTTTAAATTTCACGGTTTTTCGTTATAAAAAAACCGGATGATAATTTGGGGGCAATCCTGGTATTTTTTTGTTTTTTGGTATTTTTAATAAAACTGATAAGCCATTGAAGTTGTTTTTTTTTAACTTTTTTAGAACCAAATTTCATGGGTAAAGGTTTAAAAATAAACCTTTATAATTATGGAGACGTAAAAATTATTTTTATCTGTTTTGGGTTTCGTAAATCAGATATAATATCTGATTGACGAAATTTGACCTCTATTTTGTCATTTTGTGTTTTTTATTTAACTATTAAGGGGTGTTTTTAATAAAAATGGAAAAATACATAAAGTGTGTCTTTTTACGTATTTAATTTTAAATTTCACGGTTTTTTGTTATAAAAAAACCAAATGATAATTGTGGTTACGAAAAAAAAATTTAGTTGATTTTTGGAGAAAAAAATCAGACATTATATCTGATTTCGCGGTTTTTCATGATATGACACTCTATGACGTCGATTTGACGTTGACTTGACGATGATTTTGTTTTATTACTTAACGTTTTATATAAATTGGCGGTGGGGGACCATTCATCCCCACTACCGCCCGTTTTCTCTGGAAAAACAGAGCGAAAAACCGAGCTTTGACCATCCCACCGACCATTCCGACCAATATTGATGCCATTCTTCGACATACCGTCATAGACTACCGTATAACGACATCGGCCACCATCCGCCGCCGTCGGCCACCATTCGCCGCCATCGACCACCGTGATCGGCCGCCCCTCACCACCTTCCGGTGCCAACAACCACCCTCTGCCGCCAATGACCACCGTCAAGATCCACCGTCCACCACCCCCCTCCGCCGCTCGTTCATTTCATGTTCAATCTTCTTCTTTTTTGAACCAAGGTCCGCACGTTTTTGCTGTAGTATATCCAATTTCAGTTCGTAGTCTTTGATAGTCTCTCTCACATCATCGGGCATTTTTTCAGGTAGTTGACTTCTCCACCATTCTTCTCCAAGCCTCTCTCACTCCTCATTCGTTGTTGGAACTTTAAAATTACAACTGGACGAGCTTCCGTCCATTGTTATAAAGAAAACAGGAAAAC